AGTCGCAAAAAGTCCAAAGTCCTCGGCCTTTTGCCGACCACCACAAAAATCACAAAAATCTCCAGTTGCTTGAAATCGACCACGCCGATCCCCACAAACGGCCGCGTGGGACGTCCTCAACTTTTTGAGATTGACCACGCCGATCCTCGCAGAGGTCGCAATCGCCTGCGATGACAACAGCCCCACCCTCGCCTTAAAGGAAGAATCTTATTATCGAGTTTTTCCAGGCGCGCTCAGAATCTTCCCGCGCGAAGATTAACCAAAGCTGACAAAGCTGCGAAAGCCCAGCCCAGCCTATGCTAGCTCTCTACCACGCCAACGTTCACACCCAAGCTTTTATCCAGACTCTTTACACAGACTATTCACACCCTGGGCCACGCGATTCATGCCCAGACATAGTCCTAAGACTATACCCAAACCATTCCCAATCTACTTCGCCTCTATGCAGATGGCTCTGCACAAGTTGCTCTGCGCAAGTTGCTCTGCGCAAGTAGCTCTGTGCAAGTTCGCTCTGGGCGAATGGCTCCGGGCAAGTTGTTCTGTGCAAGTTCACTCTGTGTAAATGGCTCTTTGCAACTGGCTCTGCAGAAGCCAGCTTTGTTTGCTCGAGGACTGCATTACCAAGCGACTGCCGTTCTGAAGGCAAAAAACGCAGAAAGTGCTTGAGACCCCTTACGACAAGCGTATTGCTTTCCTCCGGTTGGCTTCTTTTTTGAACGCCAGTTTGGGCCACAGGGTTGCAACCTGCCTGAATGTTGTTGGGATTGTCATGGCTTAAATACCAAAGAATGGCCAGTGGTTTTGCGGGAAGTTGCCACTGAACAGGCAACCAGTCGGTGTCTCACCCTTGCGTTGCACAAAAAGCCCGTTGATCAAACACCACAATGCTGTCCAATAGTCCTGAACAGCCTCCCAAACGCAGCCCAACCCCACCCAATCATGAGCGAACTATCACGTTCACACAACCCTTGCCCCCTTAAAAAATGAAAAGCCTGACCGTCAACCCCAACATGCTCGCACTCCCGAAAGGAAAGACGCAACTGCTTTGTCTTCTTTACACCTTTCCCAAATTTCCGCAGCGACTTTCAAAACCGTCGGGACCCCGCCGCAGAGAAGGGCTCGGGGCTGTGGTTCTGCAGCGCCCCCGCTGTGCCGAAGAGACCTTTGCCGACTTCGCCGTTGCTATCTGGGAATGATGTGGAGATACGGAAAATACAACATCTAACAAAGCTTTGCTTCATTGGCTTGGGCTTGGGCTTGCCCCTTTTTGGCCAAGGTGACATTCCAGGGCAGTATTTCGTCGTGTCCCGATGATGTCTCTTAGGTGTGGTTTCCTCAAAACCTCCACATCCAAGGCGCTACCCTCCTGCAGGGTCCCATAGAGGTCCATGTCCTAGGCACGGGTCCCACACCCAAACCCCCTCTCCACTCCTGCATGGTGTCCTCCTCATTGGGGTTGAAGATGCCCGCGCTCTGCTGCAGGGCCTTTCGTCAGGCTCGAATCCACACAGCCCTCCGCAGGCTTAAGCCATCGTCCGGCTGTTTACAAAGGAGCTTTCCCCAGGTCGCCGGGAATGCAAAAAAAAAGATTCGCCCCGACTTTTTGACACAAATGTGTTCGCAAAAACGGAGCAAAAGCCACAAGACTGTACCTCACCTGCCTCGCGGTGCCTGAGCCTCATAGCGTCATAGCCATTGCGAACTGAAAGCAGGCTACGAAACAAAGCTCCAAGGAAAACAAACTTCGTGGTTAGTGGAGGAGGAGGAGGAGGAGGAGGAGGAGAAAAAATGAAGGAGGCAAAGGCATGCGAGCCGTTCGTTTGTGACCTCACCCGGCTTTTATACCCTCATGTTCACTAACATGGAACCCATCAAAGGGCGTGTAAAAGGAAAATTGTGTCGCAGGACCCCTCAGCCAAGTTCCATGCTGGTGAACAGGAGGGTAGGCGTTTCTGATATTTGTGCGGGTGTCTCGGTGATTTGTTGCAACTCGCCAAGAAAATGTTTAGCTCAAGTTATTGCTGGTTGCAAGTGGCGGTGTCTAATGACAGTTGTGTCACGAGCATTTTCCAAACCGGTGTTACATTTCACATTGGACATCACCCAAAAACACCCACTTTCGCTGACCAAAAAGGTGATGTGTCAATCCACCAAACGGCCGTCAGCTGAGGCAAACAGGTTTAAGGGTCCGGCTGAGCGTTTTGCGGGTGTTCCTTGGCTTTGCTCAGGAATCCAGCTGGGTAAATTCGTCGCTGTCACAAACCAATCAACTCACCCGACATAAGCAAAACATCCCCTCTGGTCTATGCGCACACTCGGACATTTAGTCCTAATCAAGGGGCTGGCTTGTGCGCGGCAACCTTGTTTAAATTGGTTTCAAGTCCTGCGCTTGCGCGTAGCTCTAACCAAGCTGGAAGTTTCTATACCTTGCCTGCACGCTTATTTGTCATGTATCACTCTCCGCTCACAGGCCATAGGTACCGCTGCAACCACGATACTGTCGCACTGCCAGGCTTGGTGCACGACCCGGCCGTACCCATTCGCGTATGCAACGATGTTTCACCCCAAGCCGCGGTCGAAAACCTGCACTGAGAGCCGCCCATCTCATCTGCAGTCGCAGGCTTGGTCTGAGCCTTCATGCGGACAGCTGCACAGTCCCGGTAGATGTCCAGAAGTGCAAGCACAGTGCACTCCCCGTCTTGCAAGATGGCATGGCGGTCAGTGTCCAGCTGGGCTGAGGCTGACGCAAGCAAGGTGCTCCTGGTCGTTTAACTTGCAAACGCATACAGAGACACATAAATATATATATATATGTATATATATTGTATAAGGAATCAAGAGCCATTTCAGGTGGACCTGAAAAAGATTCCCTTTGATGAGCTTGGTTGCAACCCGCTTTTTGAAAGAGCATCCCAGCCTGCCAAGCATAATGTTTGAAACGCGCCAGTCCGACTGTCAAGGCGAACCAAGAGAAACTGAAAATCCGCGAAGTGGAAAGCTGCCCTTCCGAAGCCCGTCTCGGGCCTCTTCTGCGGGGCATGGCTCCAGGTTGTCAGGAAGCATCCGCAAGCACGGGCCCTGCGCAGGAGCTGCCCCGTGTCACATTAACAAGGGGCCGGGATTTAATTTGGGATTTTTGTTTTATTTTGGACTTTTTGTTTTCCGCCCTGGCTACTAAACGGTTGTAATTTACAGCATTTTCTCGCGAAATGTACGTATTTAACGCTAGTCTGTCAACATCATCAGCATCGTTTTCAACATCCCCCACATGTCCAGCCAACATCCCCAGCATCACCAGCAAATCGGGGCATCTTCAGCATCATCAGTTCCTCTACGGCAAGGCCTCGTGGTAAAAGTGAGGGTTCAAATTCGGGCAACTAGTCCCTGTAAAACACCTAAAACGTAGCGGGGGTGTTGGGGGGGCGGCAGCCCCCCCCATGATGATTGAAGAACTGATGATTCCATTAGGGGTGCATTCTAATCTCGCTAAAATCAAAAAAAAGTCGCGGGGGGTGGGGGGGGGGGGGGGGCGGCAGCCCTCATGGTGATCAAAAAAGTCATGATTCAATTAGGTGCAAAAAAATCCAAAAAGCAGCCGGGGGGTTGGGGGGGGGGGCAGCAGCCCCGCCCATGATGATTGAAAAAGTGATGATTCAAGTACAGGCGCGGGGGGGGGGCTGCCCCCCCATGATGATCGAAAAGTGATGATTCAACTAGGGGCAAAAAGTCTAAAAAATGGCGGGGCTGCCGCCCCTCCATGATGATTGAAAAAGTGGATCGAAAAATTAGGGGCAAAGAATCTAAAAAGTAGCTGTCGCATGATGATCGAAAAATGATGATTCAATTAGGCGTGCATTTTAATCGAAAGGGGGGTGGCGGGGGGCACCAGACAGGAACTTGCGATGCTGAGGCTGCATGAAGCCAGCCCCCCATGATGATTGAAAAGGTGATGATTCAATTAAAGGCGCGGGGGGGTTGGGGGGGGGGCAGCCCCCCCATGATGATCGAAAAAGTGATGATTCAATTAGGGAAAAAAGTCTAAAAAATAGCGGGGGTTGAAAAAGTAGGGCCAAAAGATATATATATATATATATTTAAAAAAACAGCGGGGGGGTTGAGGGGGGGGGGGCGGCAGCCCCCCAGCTGATGATCGAACAATTAGGGGCAAAGAATCTAAAAAGTAGCTGTTGCATGATGATCGAAAAAGTGATGATTCAATTAGGCGTGTATTTTAATCGTCGCGATGCTGAGGATGCAGGAAGCCAAGGCCAAAAACCAACTGGGAAAGCGGAGGATGCGAAAACCCAAAGCCAGAAAGCCGCCAAAAGCCACAAAGCCAAAAAGCCACCTGCCGCAGCGGAACTGGCAACGTAGAGGATGCAAAAAGAGAGGAACTGTGAATGCAGAGGATGCGAAATGAAAAGCCACAAAAGCCACCAAAACCCACGTAAAAGCCACAAAAGCCAAAAAGCCGAAAAGCCACCCACCCTGAAAAACAAAAAAAACCTTTAAAAAATGGCCCTCCATTAACAAGTGGCTTCCTCCCGCATCGTCCACGAAGGGTCCCTGAGAACCCACGAAATCCGATGCGAGCGGAAGGCAAGCGCTTGCCTTGCTCTTCTTGGGCGCCTCGGTTAGGCCAGAACAAATGCTCTTTTGCGCAAGCCGTTGCCTTTTCGGTGGAGTCGTTTTAGATGTGCTTCACGTACCACCCGAAGCTTAGAACATCGCCCGATCATGACCACTCCCCTTTCCCAAGAGCTACCTTTCCGCCGCAAAAAGCCACCCAAGTTTCCAAGGCCCAATCTTCAACTACCTCAACTACCACCTTGGCCGACTTTGCCGGACCCAAAGCCCAAAGAAACTGTTTCTGGAATTTCCCGGTTGCTGTTGCCATGCAAGTGCCCCGAAGAAGGCTGTGCTTCCTTAAAGGGAGAAGCTCATCCACAATATGCAAATCGGCGTGTTCCAGTGACCCAAACAAATGGTTGACAAACAAGGGCGTCTCTCCAAATGGGGCTGTCTTCTTTTGAGGGGACCCTCCAAATTGATGGTTTTCCTGCTGCTTTACCTATTTTAACAACCCCCGAAAACGGGCACCAACTTCAAAAAAGACAGACCCAAACAGGCGTCCTCACATGAGGCCTGGTTTGCCTTCGGCCCCCTCCATCTTCATGCGTTGCGGTTTGGGGGTGGGGGGCTAGCTGCCCAGGCGCGCTCCGCGGACGGCGTGCAAGGAAGTAGGCCGGGCTCGCACCTAGGAGCATCGGAGAAGGTCCAATGAAAATAGAATGAGGTTCCGTGTGTTTCCAAACATGGGCAGGGGAAGGAGATGCATTCTGCCCTCCATCTCCGCGCGGCCCAGAAAGTGAGTCGGTGAGATCTATGGCGACGGTTTCTGGACACATCACACCCACTCCCATACCCCATACTCCCACGACTGGGTATGTCTTTTTCAGGGAACCCCCCCCCCCGGCAAATTTGTGGCTTTCCGTTTGGTTTCCCTGAACCCCCCCCTCCTCGGTTGACAGGTGCCACCTCCAAAAAAGACGAGCCACCCACTCGGAAAGAGGGCGCCATTTGAAACGTTGCGCCCACATTTGAGAAAAAAAAAAAACTCTGCCAAGAGCCACTGCAATGCCGGACGCAAAAGAAATTAGACCTCTGGAGTATCCTGAGTGAGGGGACTCGGATACATATGACCCCTCTCACAAACAGCCCCAATGTCCAGACAGGGCGCTGCCAGATGCGTTAGTGCTGCTTTTGGAAAAATGTGGTCCTTTGTCATGAAACCGAAGTGAACATGCATGCGCGCACGGTCGCCCAGCTCCGAAACCTACCCAACTGACCTCCTGTAACCTGACTGAAGAATTCTGCTGGCCTCCAAGTCTCAGCCCAGCGGATTTGGTGGAAAAAGGGGGTGCCCTTTTTTCTGGTTGATCTGAGCTGGTCTCAAAGGGACACCCTTCCCAGAAACAAAGTGACAAAGTGCGCCTGTCTCCGGGCCCCACACTGGTGGTTTTCTGTTGGTGTCCCTGCAAAAGCACTGGTAAACTCCCTTGGACCCCCGGGCAGGGCTCTTTGTACCGGAATAGGTCCACCTTCGCACCGGCCTAAGAACTGGCGCGTCCCGAAATCGGAAGTCGTACGAGCTCGAAACCTTTGGGGGTCCTTGAAAACGAAAGCTCAAAATAACTTGACATGGTTGGCCTTGAACAAGTCAGAAACAAACCTTTCATCCACCCGCCTTGGGAGTTGCAGGGGCGGTCCAAAAACGGATGCTCGTGCGGCGCAGAATGTTTTCTCCGGAGGCGGATAACAGAAAAGAAAAAAAAAAAGAAAGGATCAGCCCAAGTAAGATAGGGCAGCGGAGGCAAGGCGGTGGCCGACGGTAGAGGGTTCTACTTCACCTGCACAGACAACCCCCCTTGCTAAGTGGCTATACGGGGCAGATTCTGTCAGGATGGTGAGAATGGGAGCCTTGTGTTCAGGCACCCTTGGAACGATCCATGGACTACAGCTCAGGATAAGCGCAAAGCAAAGAACCCATGGAACAGTTTGGCTAAGCTCTGGTGATAGCAATTTCAAGTGTGGCCTGCATCCTATCAGAGGTGTCCTTCCGACATGCGAGGGGATTAAGAATGGAAGCTTGTTTAGAGTGTTTATGTTCCCTTGATCTTTGGGGGTAGCGGCCTGGAATTGTGCAATCGACTCTGGATGGCGTTCCAAAACTCCGAAAGCTAAACGCAATCTCCGCACTCTCAGTCTTGCCCATTCCCTGGTAGTGACACAGGCACATCCTCGTGGCCCCAGAGCCCTTGCACAGGTTATGGTCAGACTTGCATAGGAACCCGCACAGCGGCTGCCCAAATTTATAGCCATCCCGGATGTACCCGGTCACACGCTACACATTCCCATGAGGTTTCCGGCACCCACAAGGTACACCTTGGTGTTGGCATAGACGCCCTCCGTGGTGATGGGCTGACCTGAGACTCATTGCAAATACTTCCCGAGCAGGCGTCCGTGTTTGACGTTGTCATCGTCGGGTTATTTGTGGGCTTCTTATTGTTGGATCTTTCTCGAGGTCACCTTTCTTGGGGGTTGTTCTAAGGAAAACAAAAGGAAGCCTCCCTCTTTCCAACAAATATGGAAGTGGATAGGGGATAGGGATAGATAGGGGATAGGGCGGCTTCCTTAAGATGATGGTAGCCCTCCAAAGCCCTCGGTCCATGATCAATTATCATGGTTGTTGGAAAGGGGACACTGTTAAGGTAGACTTAAACTCAAGGGTGATGGAACCCTGAACCTCACGCAAAATGTGACATCTCCCCATTTCCCAGGATGCCAAAACCAAGCACTGGCAAAGCCGACCACTGCCGTTGGGTTGCCGCTGTTGGAACCACCCCAGAACTTTCTCGGATGTGCATCTAGCATCTCTATCCATCCGGCACTCATCGGGTCAGGCCTCATTTTCATGAATGAGTGAACCCAAATGATCACCAACCCCAGCTCTCTCAGTCTTTAGTTTGGGTGAGGAACCTCTTAGGTATGGGTTTGAGAGGTATGGCTTGAAGAAAACTACCCCCCATTTGCGGTTGGGTTGCATTGAGCAATTGTGTCAGTGGCCCGCTCACCAGTGAAACATGCACATGAAGCCCAATACCACCAAAACGAGCTTCCTGCACAAATGGCGTGGCCTGTTTGCGTTCCCTTTTTCATCTAAAAAAATAGCCTCCATACCACCAAGTGAAACACAATGCAGAACACATGCCCTCCTAGTCGGCGGCCATCACGGTAGATCTCATCCGTGAAAAGAAGCGACCTCAACCGTTTGAGCCAGCACCTGAGCCTTTCTTGAGCCTGTCTGCGAACAAGTTGTCTGAAAAAACTGGGAATGCCCTTTTGTGCCTTGGGATGTCCCTTTTGCTGCCTTTGAAACACTTGATTGACTTGTGCGTGAGTTTTCTCCATCCGGCCGGGACCAAACTTTGCAACCAAGGAACGAGGCAACGAGGGTTTCTCCCTTTGCTTTGGTTCAACGTTGGTACCCTCCGGCATTGCCATAAACCCCCTCCAGGGTCCGGCGCTACTGAAAGGTTCCAGGGCTGAAGCCGCAAAGCAGCTGCCCAAACTTTGTACATATTCCCAGAACACGGATCCTGTCTTGGGAGCTCCCGTTAGAGCTCAGCCAGCGAAAGTCGGGTTGCCAGTTGCAAAAAACACAAGCGGAGAAGTTATTGTTAGCTTGTAAGAAACCTGGCATGTGGCAACGGGTAACACCGCTGAAAAACAACATGGGACCAACAAAACTGTCCATGTGTTGGGGAACCCCCTTTTGGGGACAGGACCCCTCTTTGCGACAAAAATGCAGCCATCTGACGCAGATCCGAAGCGGCAAACATGGACTAAAGCAGGGATTGCCTTTTGACACCCTTCCTGGCTGAAAATGAAGGTACACTTCATGATCGATTTACACGCTACTTTTTGTGGGAGAGAATGTGCTCCCTAGAAAACTTTGATTCTGCCAAGCTACCCTTTCTGCAAGCTTTGCTGGAGGCGAGCAACTTGGATTTCCAGTCGAGTGGATTTCGTGCTGTGTTGGCTTGAGTTGCAGGTGCTGCAGGAGGAAGCAGAGGAGGTAGGAGCCACCATGAGGGAAAATGACCAACTGACCAAACAGCTGTGGATGGACGAAATCCTGCACCACTTTGAAAGGATGGGTATTTCACAGAACAAATCTGCAGGATTTCGTCCATTCACAGTCGTTTACTCATGCAACCCACGAAAGCCGCGGGGCGCCTGGACAGGTGGGAACGGATGAGAGCAATGGAACGCGCATCGGTACTGGGACAGCCAATGTTGCTCCCCCAGCCGGGATCTGATTTGTGCGAATCATTGCTTCCTTTGTTTGAGGCTCATGATGCTGCCCGAAAGTTTCTCAAAACCAGGCATTTGGTCCTCAAAAAGATCCTCTTGGATAAGGCGGTTGATCCTCTCCCCTTCGCCACCAAAAAAAATGGCCTCGATTCCAACCAAGCCCTGGACGGATGCTGCAGCAAGGCACCTGGCGGGGCTGTGGAAATAGCAAGGTTTGGCCCAAGAATAGGCTGGCTTGCCTCCGGCCAATGCTTGCTGCAAATTTAAATGCAACCCCAAAAGGAGATTCCTCCAAACAGACATGTTCTTCACTTGACGGGGGGTGGAAGACATCCTCCTACCTGCACAGGAAGCCTAGTCCTCTAAGGAGCTGGGCCCGAAAAATCGGCAAAGATTGGATTTGGAGGGGCCAACGCTTGGCGCACTAGATAAACTTCCAGCTGACCGAAAGACCTCCCCATAGCAAGGCACAAAAGGAAGTTGACGTACAACTGGCCACCGAAAGCCGATTTGAGCGGTTCCTAGACAAGACGAACTCGCGGGGCCCTAATGGCCCTAACGCTCCAAAGAGGGCATAGGTGGGGCTAAAGCAGCCGAACTCGTGTACCCTCCGAGGGTGTACAATCACATCCTTCACATCCGAAGTGGCGACCTGCAATGGCCTTTGCCAGGCTGGAACACAGGGAGACCGACAACAAGGTCAATGGTGCACACTGCAAGCGCCTTGTGCTTTCTTGTCCGCAAAGTCCTTCAAAGCCTCGATGTGCTCATCGAAGAAGTAGATCTATCACAGGTGTGACCAGGGTTGCTCCAATGTCATGTAGGCCCCTGGAAAGAAACAAAGGACCCAACATGGGATTTTGGACATCAGTTGTTGCGGGGTACTGGTACAAATGAATTCTTTACCCTGGTGGCTTGGCCCTTTCGGAGCAATCGGGTTCAGATCCAGAACCATTCCGAATTGGGGGATAGATGCCGCCGAAAAGACTCGGGCCAGTCCAACGATGGATTTCCGGATCGCCTTCTGCTTCCTCCCTTGGATCGCTGCAAGGAAGTCCTGACACTAAGTGCATCTGGACGGGAGGGACACTGGGGAAGCCACCACCGGTCCAATTGGGCTATGAAGAACACGTTTTTGTTGGCCGGCCGAGGCCAGCCATCCGTTGAAGAGTGGCAAATGAGTCCAATTTCAAAATGCGAGCCACGCTCGAAAAGCGCAACACGTGCTGCGCCACCTGGGAGGTTCAGAATGCATACAGTGCATACAGCATCGACGCTCCTGGAAACCCACCTACGTCCGGTTGGCCCTTGGCCTGGCTCCCTCCGGTCCCTCCGGCCTTTCCGAAGGCCTGGGGGCTTCCATGATTGAGAGATGTTAGAGAGAGCCTCGAAACAAACGCAGTCCACACAGTCACGGCCAATCAGACCCCTCCTTTGGCTTGAGTCGACCCACCTGAACCAACAACCCACAGCTTGCTATGATTGGGAGTTCGCAGTGTGTTAGTTAGTAGCTTTCTTGGTCAAGGAATTATGCCTGGGTCAGTTGTGCCTGGTTAGCTGGTTTGGTGAACCAACGAGCCAAGTGCAACTCCGACCCTTCGAAAAGCACTTTCCCTTGCAAAAGGGGAGGGTTCTGTTGCAAGCCCTGGAATTTGCGCAATCTCTTTGTCCAAGTCCTTCCAAGGAAAAAAAACCTTCTGCCAACCAAAACTGTCCTCCTTCCGCAGACGCAAGAACTCGCTGTCCTGCGAGCACCTTGGAATGCTCCCTTCGGATGCCCTGTGAGAGAAAATAGCCCAGTCGATATCCCCAACAACCCCCTTTGAAACCCTGCGGAACCCTTGCAGCTGTCCCGGGTCACTCCGGAGATTATTTGGGCAAAGACTGCGGGGACGCACATTTTTCAGCTGTCAGGAAGAAAAACTCTGGAGGTTGAGGCTTACCCCAGCGTAGGGCACGAGGCTCTTTCCTCGACTGACGGACCAGCTGCGGCTTTTGGCAGGCACTGAGCTTGGGGCACGATGCTGGCGCTACGCCTGAGGGATTCTTCACAGCCCGCATCAAATAACCCCCCGTTCCACATGAGTGGTCACGTGCTACACCTGGGAAACTAGATGTCACACTTCCCTTTGCACAGAAAAACAAAGGGGATGACATGCGTCAAAAACTGAGGAATGTGGCGCAGGGCCACCCCCTTGCTTCGACATGTCAAAAAACGCTCCCGCCGCTCCAGGCCCAGAAGAACAGACGGTGAGGCCCCGCACGGCTCGGTGTTCTGCAATGCCAGTTCCTGGCTTTCGGCGCATGGCCCGCTGCCATCTGCGAAAACCATCAGCCCCCCAAGCGCAGGACCCCACCTCCCCCGAAAGCAACCATTGTAGTTACCTCAATGCGCTCATTCTCCACAATCTTGCCCGTATGTGCCACCATCGAACAAATGGGAAACTCATGTATTTGCGCGGTTTGTCGGCCTACTCAAAATCATGTAGCAACTAAACGCAGGGAAGAAAGGCTAGAAGGGCAACGCTCCCAAGCTTCTGCTTCAAGCTACACAATCAATCGGACAAGTCGCTGACACTTGAGTTGACTTGGAAATTCGAATGCAACATTAACCCCCTGCAAACGGGCCGGCTGCTGAGCTGGAGTCGTCAAAAATCAAGAACCAATCCAACGCGCCAGAAGAATACGAATTGACATACCAGATGTCAATGCCACGCTTTTGGCCAATGTATGCCAATGTCTCATGGCTCTCCATATGGCTTTCCTCTAAAGCAGTGTCAAAAAGAAACACACACACACACACACACCCTTTTTGGGATCCAAGCCCCAGGCTCCGAAGAGGGATACCTCCCTCAGAAAGCGCAGCATCTTGCCGTAGTTGGACTCCTCGGTCTTGCTAGCTGTTTACTTTCAACGGGATTCGACGTCACTCCTCCTGGAAATGTCCCACGTATCAAAATGAAATGCTAGAAAATCAGATAAACTGAGGCGCCTCAATGCCAAGGACCTGAGCATCCAACGCAAACGATATGGGTCATTCAGCCCCCAAATCGCTCCGAGACACATACCCCTAATTTAAAGGTCAAACCTATTTTGGCATCCTCATGTTTAGACCCCGAGTGACTCTCCCAAACTAAGCTGGTTATCATGTGCCAAGATTTGGTTCATGGTTGGTCCCTCAAGCAAGTGCCTGCCATGGCCAGGGGTTGCGGGTTCCCGCCGGCCCAAAAGAATAAAAAAAAAACCAAGCCATAAGTTTGCATATGAACCCCACTTTATGGCAGAGTTCTTTCCCAAAGATGCTGCAACTCTCAAAATTTAGACAGGTGCGGCCCCCCGGCCCTATGAACCCCTCAGTGGTTTCAGCCTCCTCAGTGCCCGCATGGCAGCAAACGCCCTCCCGCGTGCATATCGGTCCAGGCTCATATGGCAACATAGAATTGCCCTTTGACTCATGTAGCCAAGGTTTAGAGGTGACAGGGCACATGCCAACGAAAAAACTCCCCATGATTGATGAACGTACCATACAAGTAGAGTATAAGAACTTCAGATCTAGTTCTCTTTCTTTTCGTTATTTTTCTCTTCTTGCTGTTTGTCATCCTTCATGTTGCATTTCTTGTTTTGCTTCTTTCATGTCTTTCATGTCTTGCATGTCTTTCATGTCTTTCATGTCTTTCATGTCTTTCATGTCTTTCATGTCTTTCATGTCTTTCCTTCGTTCCTTCTTTCCTTCTTTCCATATTGATTTCTTTCTTTCTGCCTTCCTCTTCTTTCATTCTTTATCTTTCTTTGCTTTTCGGTCGTTCTTCCTTCCTTTCTTCCTCCTTCCTTTCTTCCTTCCTTCTTTCTCTCTTTCTTTATTTTTCCTTTCTTGCTTTCGTCCATTTGTTCTGCCCTTCTTTCCTGCTTATCCGCGGAATGTAATTCTCTATATGTACATATTTTTGTCTATCTATCTACCTATCTGCTTTAAGATGTTCTGTCTATCTATCTATCTATCTATCTATCCATCTATCTATCGATGTTGGCTTACATGCGAATCAGGGAAGGTGTGCCTGAAAATTAAAGGCACGAGGTGGATGGCTCCCTTTGTCCCTGCCGCACTTTTTCGAGAAGCCTGGGAAATGGTCCAGAAATCACCTGCTTTCCACGTCAGCCCTCACATAATTGACAAGATTAGCTGCTCTACCGAACAATCAAATGCAGAGGTGTCCTTTCGGAAAAATAGATCTAACCGACCAAAAGGAAACCTATGATCGAAGGCTGATGTTTCACTGCCCTTTCCATCTCCCGCAGCCTTCCGCGGCCCAAACATGGGAACCCAATGCTGCCGACCCATGAATGCGAAGGGTAAGGGGGGGGGGACCTTGCTGCAAAAAGACGTCATTCGGGATCATCAAAATAGCGGACCGACACTAATTACAATTTGGTTTGGATTGGCGTTTTGAAGGTTAGGCTGACATCTACACCCAAGAACCTGGGGTCATGCCTTGACAAACACAATTGACCCTGTTTACGTGGAAGTTTGTCCCCACCAACCCTTGGCACATCAACCAAAAAGAAATGCAGCTAGATCCAACCCAGTGGCCGCCAAGATGCCGGCTTCTAGATTCGCCAACCCCAAACAAAATGTGGGTGCGCCTTCTTTGCGGGAACTCTGTTTCGAATGGATTGAAAGGGAAACCAAGAGGACCCCGACCGCCTTTTGGAGGAAAATTCCTGGAGGCTGGGTAGCCGTGTGGTGCCTTGGAGAAGGTGCTGAAGCCCTCGGAGGTGCGGAAGGACTGGGCCTTGGAATGTCTCAAAGCACGGCAGCCAAGTGGCTGTAAAATCCACATGTTCTGCTGAAGAATGGGGCCCCGTTGGCCCTGTTGTCCAGAACCATGTGTCTTGGGCCTTAGAGATCGCGGGAATCACCCTTGGGAAAGGTTTTCGCACTGTGATACCTGCGGTTCCAATAAAATGAACATATCTGAGCTCTTGGTTTCTTCCCAGAACAGCCCCAAAAAAAACTGTAAGAAGTTCACAAAGTGAGGCAGTGAAGAAAGTGAAGAAAAGAAGCAGGATTCAAGGGAACCCTCGACGAACGCTGGCATTCAGCCCTCCTAAGGAAAAGTGCGTCGAAGCGATGCTGAGATCCTCGCCCTGAAGCAATTGTCTTTCTGCAAGGGTTCCTGTCTAAGGTGTGGGTTTTCGGGTTGACTAGCGCCCGCCCCCCCCCCGCCCCGTCAAAGTTTACATGAGTTCGCATGTGATTCCCCACCACGCCGCTTCTGAAAGTCCATTTTAAATCTCCCAGAACAAGGCTAGTCCAAAAACTGGAACCCTGCCAGAGCTCCGGCGGGGCGCGGCTGCTTGCCGTTCCGCTTCTCTTCGGACCGCGCCGTCTGGGCATTTTCTTCGGACAATTCCGCTTCCAACATGAGGTAGGATCGATGATGCGCTCCCCCTTTTAATAAACGCACCCTATTAATTCATAAATACTATTTTTCCAGATTGGCTAAAACAGCCGGTGTGTGGAATACGCCAATTCAAAACCAATACTAAACTTTCCGATGTCTCCGCCCAGACCAGGCCCAGCCTTATGAGGGGTAATTAGTCTAGGACCCAAGCTCCCAACACCACCCCAATATCAAATTATCTTTGCATACTTACCTTGTACTGATTTACACGTATTTCTTGAATTGTAATTCCAAATTAAAATACGCCCTTTTCTTTTGATCCGCACGCGGCTAAGCGCCAGGCCGGGCACCTCATTTTTGGCGCGACAGAGACACGCGAATGGTGTCGTGAGTCGCCGCGCCGTGCGGCATGCGTGCCGAAATCCTTAGGGGTGCGGATTTATTTTGGGAATTTTTTTCGTTGTGTTTTGGTTTTTTTTTTTTTTTTTTTTTTTTTTTTTTTTTTTTCGTCCGGGCCAGCAAAATGTCGTATTTTACTGCATTTTCTCGCGAAATTGACGCATTTTACACTAGCTCGTCAACATCCCCAGCATCGTTTTCAACATCCCCCGCATGTCCGACCAACATCCCTAGCATCACCAACAAATCGTGGGTAACAAAATCCAAAAATGTAGCTGGCGGGTTGACGGGGTCAAAACAATGATGCTTCAAACAGGAGGGCATTTCAATCCCAGCAAAAAAAATACAAAAAAACAATTAAGAAAAACAGAGCGGGGTAGTGATGATTCGAACAGGGGTGCAATTAAATCTCTGCAAAAAGTCTAAAAAGTAGCGGGGGGGTTGGAAGAATTGATGATTCAACTAGGGGTGCAATTAATTAAATCTCTGTAGAAAATCTAGAACGTAGCGGGGGGGTTGGGGGGGGGCGGCAGCCCCCCCATGACGTCGGAAGAAGTGGTGATTCAAGTAGGGGTGCAATGATTCAAGAAAGGGTGTGATAGAATTTAAAAGGCAGCGGGAGGGTTGGCGGGGGTGGCTTCCCCTATGATGTTCGAAGAAATGCATACATACAGACATACACGGACTACACAGATTACCTAAAATGTCGTATTTTGCAGCATTTTCTCGCGAAATTGGATGCTCGAAAAAGTGATGATTCAAACAGGGGTGCAATTCAATCTCTGCCGGGCCAGTAAAGTGTCGTATTTTACAGCATGTTCTCGCGAAATATACCTCCGCATGTCCCACCAACATCCCTAGCATCACCCACAAATCGTGTGACGGGGTCAAAGAAATGATGATTCAAGTAGGAGGGCATGTCAATCCCAGAAGTGATGATTTGAATAGGGGTGCAATTAAATCTCTGCAAAAAGTCTAAAAAGTAGCGGGGGGGTTGGGGGGGGCGGCAGCCCCCCCCATGATGGTTCAAGAATTGATGATTCAACTAGGGGTGCAACCCCCCCATGATGTTCGAAGAATTGATGATTCAACTAGGGGTGCAATTAATTAAATCTCTGTCGAAAATCTAAACGTAGCGGGGGGGGTTGGGGGGGGGGCGGCAGCCCCCCCATGAGGTCGGAAGAAGTGGTGATTCAAGTAGGGGTGCAATGATTCAAGAAAGGGTGTGATAGAATTTACAAGGCAGCGGGAGGGTTGGCGGGGGTGGCTTCCCCTATGATGTTCGAAGAAATGCATACATACAGACATACACGGACTACACAGATTACCTAAAATGTCGTATTTTGCAGCATTTTCTCGCGAAATTGGATGCTCGAAAAAGTGATGATTCAAACAGGGGTGCAATTCAATCTCTGCCGGGCCAGTAAAGTGTCGTATTTTACAGCATGTTCTCGCGAAATATACCCCGCATGTCCCACCAACATCCCTAGCATCACCCACAAATCGTGTGACGGGGTCAAAGAAATGATGATTCAAGTAGGAGGGCATGTCAATCCCAGAAGTGATGATTTGAATAGGGGTGCAATTAAATCTCTGCAAAAAGTCTAAAAAGTAGCGGGGGGGTTGGGGGGGGCGGCAGCCCCCCCCATGATGGTTCAAGAATTGATGATTCAACTAGGGGTGCAACCCCCCCATGATGTTCGAAGAATTGATGATTCAACTAGGGGTGCAACTAATTAAATCTCTGCAGAAAATCTAAAACGTAGCGGGGGGGTTGGGGGGGGCGGCAGCCCCCCCCATGATGTCGGAAAAACGCCACCTGCCGAAGAGGAACTGGGAATGCAGAGGATGCGAAAAGCCAAAAAGCCACCAAAAGCCGCATAAACCAGCAAAAAGCCGAAAAGCCTAGAAGCCCAGAAGCCGAGAAGCCAAGAAGCCGAAAAGCCAAAAGCCAAGAAGCCAAGAAGCCAAGAAGCCAAGAAGCCAAGAAGCCCAGAAGCCGAGAAGCCGAGAAGCCGAGAAGCCAAGCCAAGCCAAGAAGCCGAAAAGCCAAGAAGCCAAGAAGCCGAGAAGCCAAGAAGCCAAGAAGCCAAGAAGCCAAGAAGCCAAGAAGCCAAGAAGCCAAGAAGCCAAGAAGCCAAGAAGCCAAGAAGCCAAGAAGCGAAAAAAAAATCCCAAAAAAAACGAAAAAAAAAATCCTAAAATAAATACCCCTCCAATCCTTAGAGCGTTGGGGAGAGCTGCGGAAGGGAGCTATCCAAGTCATTGCATGTTGTACAAGCCACTTGGGAGAAATCATCATTGGTGCTCAATTTTGGGGCCATTTGGGAGATTCAGCAGGTATTGAAACGTACTCAATATATACCAAGAATAAGTGACTCAATCTGGTTGAAAAGATGATGGGTTTGTTGTGGACCTATCGTGCGCACATCCGACAAGTTGACACAGTGCCACGATTGAGTATGTGGGAAACTGGCAAGCCAAGAAATTCGAGGATTGTGTGATATACTCACCAGATCATTTGCCATAAAAAAATGCAACTTTGATTGAGCTCCATCATCCACGTAGAAGGTCCTTCGACAGCTACCCTCTGCAGGTTACTCCCAGGGCGTTTGCCTCGATTGTATGCTTAAGAATGTTTAGAAACGAGAGAGGCATGTGGTGAGCCTAGGGTACATCTCCACAACTTTGAGATACTACCTGTGACTTTGGGAGGAGCTTTGGGCATAAGCAGAAGAGGGGCAGCCCCCGAATCCCCTAAAGCATCAGAACAATCTCTGGAAACTTGCTTAAAGTGGGACAATCTGTTGGAGATGTGGAAGCTTCAACCGGCTGTGAACTTTACAGCTTTAGAAAGTTACATACATGTAGCTGTCTCAGAAAGCGATTTATTTTCAACTGGATACAGACGATCTTTGAGCTGTCACAGCTGGATGATTGACCAAACCACCCTCGCATCTGAGACAAGCCCCCTTTATGAGTGGGTGAGGCAATACTTGCTTGCCTTCTCCCGATCGTCCACATGGGTGTTTCCACAGGCAGTGTGCCCCCAAACTCTTACTTATAAAAAAGGACTGGACTTGTTTGTTTTTTTGCCCGGACGTGGAAACACCCGTATTTCCAGCCACACCCAATCCCTCAAGTCAGAGTCCCAGACGAAGCCGGTACCGGAAGTCTTATCTGGACTGACTCGCTTGCAAACCCTGACACCTGGTGGGCTGTGCTGCATGTGCCCGGAAAGGGGTTCAATGATGGCTGGACTGCACGAAGCCTACGGTGCCAAGTCCAGATTGTACACAGTTGAGAGTGAGGTGACTCGGTTGCGTCCTGAGGGAACCCACCTCAAATCCCCAATGCCCAACGCGTGGCCTTGGCTTTCTGGGACTAAGCATAGAATCAATGGAATGGGATGCCAGCCGTTTTGCGCTTGGGCGCCGGATGGAACAGCGGAAATGGTTCCAATTTTTCAATACAGTTTTGTGCGTGGGGGGACTTTCCTTCATGACTCAGTAAATAAGTACTCAATTATTTCCTTGAAAACACGACAAACTCTGCAACCTCAAGGAAATACTCCCCGGTGTTGTTAAAACACAGCATTCGTTTGCATGGCGCTTCATGTCCTACTGTCATGACGCCGCGTCGGGATGACTAGCTTTCGATCAAAGGGGGGGGGGGGGGAAAACGTGATTTGAGGTGCTGCCGTACCATTTCAAAGTTGGTATTTATAATTTACTCAAGCACATTTATGTCACATGTGGGTATGACAGTGACGAAGGACCCCGGATGTGTTCATGAATTTGGGTGGAAACCATCCAAACATATCTAGCCTGTCATTGTCATACCCACATCGTCACCAACTTATTTACTGGGGTACACTCTTATTTAAACTCAAAACCGTTGCATGTCTTTTGAGCAGCAACAGAACTTGACCACTTGCGTTGCTGTCTTGCTGAGACATGAAGAAAACCCGACCTTATTGCAGATTATCATCCAAACCGAACATGTAGTTTGTTAGGAATGGTCGACATCAGTCGTTGACAACATTGACAACCATCAAACATCCGCAAGCATCATTGCTTCATGTGATATGTACTGTCAGTAATGATCAAGAGTGATTGACAATCATCAAACGACACTGCTTCCCATCAATCACTGGTTATTGGTGATCTTCAATCCATTTTGTGATCATTGATACTCATCAAATCTCATCAATATTCACAAAACCTGCTTGCTATTCACAAATAATGATCACTATAATCATTTTGAACCATTTCTTCATCCTAACCCTTTGACCCTTAACACCATAAATAGGACCTACAGCGTCGTCTGCAGGATGGTGTCACTGATCACCCCTCGTCTCCAGAGACAGAGTGAGACTGATGCAGTGCTGCATTTTGTTGGCCTGCTGGATTTCTGAAGGTGCTTTTGGTGATGATCATCCCTAATAAACCATGATCAGCATGATATTATCATTTTTGACCACAAATGATCATCATGATGTAAACCATGATAATGATGATCTAAACCATGCACATTATCGAAGGAAGTTTAGGAATCAAACTTCCGACTGATGGACAACTCAACGA